CAAACACTCCGACTGATTCACCATTTAATGCCCACTTGTTAGACTTCCACTGCTGGTTTACACAGACCAGAACAGGAAGGCACAAAAATGTTAGGAGCGGTGGGGTGTGGTCCTACATTATCTGTTTTTAAACATCTTGCGTTTTATTTTTGGTGACCTTCCGATTTAGTCGCCACAGGCTCACCACTCTTTAATCACTAATTTCCAAACATTTTTGTTTTTAGAAATAAAGCACAGATCCTTTATTTCTCCACGAGTTCAAATCAAGTCTCCCATTTCTATTGAGTGAAAAATATTTATAATATTTATGCTGTTTAGCCTGTGCCATTGTTTCTTAGGCCTAATTTCACTTTGACTATAAAAGAATTTATGACCATAATTATGTAACTCAAGCAAAATCCTGTCTGTGCAGATAAAATAGAAACGCAACTGCTGCTCTTGAAAAACATAATTCAACAAGAAATCAACAGCAATAAACAGTTTTAAATAAGCGACTTAAATAATTTGAAGATTGATTGTGTGCAATATTTGCCTCAGTATTAACAAAAACAAAAATAGAAAAAAATTAAGATCTCTAAATAAACTAAGGTGCTTTTCATTTATTTTTTAAAATATTTTTTATTTCTTAATACCTGTTTAAAATATCCACTCCTAAACTTGATACATTACTGGCTTTGGAGTGTTTTAATTGTGGCAAGAGGATTTTCAAAATCCATATCCACATTTAAAACCATTGTCAACTCTAAAAAGCACACCTGTCCTACGGTATGCTGGATGTTTAACTGTGAAATAGTAAAATGTAATAGGCAAAATAAAGGTATTTCAAAAGTCATTTAATAAAGCACTCAGTTGAAGAAACATTTGGTTGGACTTCTTTCGGATGTGACGGCAAACACAAACTGATTGTTGTAAACCAGTAAACCATGGCGAGGGACTAATAAATCATGCACATCTTTTCATGGAAAAATCTGTTCATGCATTTGCATCAAAGTTGTTATTTGTAGCTTACAGGAGATATCAGTTTGCCCTCACAACTGAATAAATCAAATAAATGCTGTTAATGAGATTTAATTCCCAAAGAATAAGTCCAAGTCGACTTGTGAGTCTTCAGAGTGTGAATCTAGGTCAACTCTTTAGTACAGTGGACTCAGACTCCAGTCCTCAAGGGTCGGTCTCCTGCAACTTTTAGATGTCTCTGCTTCACCACACCTGGCTCCAATATAAGCTCATTAGCTGAGCTCTGTAGAGCCTGACTGCATACTAGTGAGGCAGTTTCAAAGTTTTATCCAAGCGTATAGGACAAGGGACACATATAAATGTTGCAGGACTTTGGCCCTGAAGGACAGCAGATTGAGACCACCGCTTTATAGCAAAGCTTAACACACACTTCTAAGCCCAGACCACAAGTCGAGGTCAAGGGTACCATGAGTCAAGTCTCGACTCACAGATCAGGAGTCAGATCTTGAGTTGGAGAGTGGGTCTCCATCACGGTATGTGATAGACTCTCTGATGATGTTAGCAATGACACTCAGCAGTGGATAACCTTGAGGTTGTGGTTTTGATGGACTCAAAGAAACCCAGACATTTCAGTGCTTTCTTGTAGAAATTCCCTGCAGTGGCTGAAATGTTGCTTGGCGTTTTCAGTGACTAAATCACTGAAAACGATTCAGTTTCAGTGATTTAGTTTCAAATGCAGTCTGAATTTGTTGATTCAGACTGCATTTGAATCAACAAATGCAGTCTGTGAGAATGAAAAAACAGAGACAATCTCCTAATGGACATAATTCTGGCCAGTGAAAAGTGGTGCAGAACCAGGCAAAGGTAGAGAAGAGGTTTCTGTCAAGTATTGAGTCCCAACCCACCAGTCTCAGTCAGGTCTTGAGTCATTATACCGCAAGACTGAGTCAAGTCTAGATTCCTTATGGGCTCAATACATGGACAGCAGCAGCAGCAAATGAAAAAGGTTCCAGACATTCAGGATACAATAGCAACAAGCAACACAAGTTTTTCAAATTTCTTGTGTTGCTTCAGAAGTCTGCGTGTTGAAATTCCACATGTTGAAGGAGGACAAGCAATTGTTGCGTCACTGCTTACGATACAGAAATGAAGAGGGAGCGATGTCGCCCCCTGTGTGTCAAGGTCCTTAGTCAAGCCTTGAGTCTCTGACCACAAGTCTAAGTCGAGACCATAAATAAAATAAGTAAATAATGTCATGAGTTTATAAAATAGACCACCCACCGACATCATTCTTTTTCAACTCAATGTGTCTTTGTATCATAATCAATAAACAATATTTATTATAACTCTGCTGTCAATCTGTCAGTCATTCGACCTGTTGCTTAACAGCAGCAGCACTTAAAATGATGGATTTTTCTGATTTCAGTTTAAAGTAAAACCAGAGACCAGGTTGAACATTTTTCAATTTAAATCTCTGGATTACTACTTTAAATGGGGTATTTTTACTCAAGGATGTCATCCCATGGGAATCTCATACGAGTCCATGCCAACTTTTAATCATGGTTCGATTGTATTTCCATCATTCTCACGTCATGCACGGGCACTTCTAACAATTTTGTGACTCTGCTGAAAATATTCACAACTGCTCCCATAAATTACATTTTTAGTCTCACTCCAGACGCAAACAATTAACAGCAGTAATTACAAGCAAATGTAAGAGGATTTAATGCATAAGGTAATAAAAAGGTGACTTTTCTTTAACTCTATTTCCACAGATTGTTTTTTTCTTAATTTGCACTTTAACAACAAATACTCAAATGTGTTTTTTTTTCCTTTGAAGAAGCAAATTCTATATGCCTGCATTTTATGTGTAGTCTTTCAAGTCTTTGTTCATTTTAATGGCGTAGCTTAAGCTAAAAGCTCATGTTTCCTTCTTCCTCACCTCAGACAGAGTGAGGTCTGGTGTTAGCTGAGTGCTGCCATAAGCCGACTGGAAATGTTTATTTTTAATAATAATTCTACAACAGTGGGGCCTATAATACTCTTGTATAATTATAACTAAGTGGTTTGGCCTGGAGGTGATCCACAACGTGCTACCGGGATGTTATTACAGACTGAGCAAAAATATACTATAAAGATATTTGGCCGGCAAAGAAAGTGGATCTACTGTCGTTGGGGACTCTTCCAAACATGGCATTATTTTGCTACATAAACTCAAAGTCAGCATAGTTTTCTAGCTTATCTGAGGGACATAATGTAATATAGCAGTCGTTTCACTATTACAGTTCTCTGGAAATTCACTCGGACCGACTTCCCTTGTAGCCAAATCAGAAAACATGTGCTAGCAAAGATGTTAAATATTATAATGATAATGTGCGCTGAGTGAGGGGGTTTGGGGGGGGCTGACTGCAGCGGCGAAGCTGTTGTTGATGAACCACAGCCAAGTGAAGACTGCCAACTGTCACTAACCGCCCTTTCACCGCGTGCCTGCTCACACCTCGCAGCAGATCAACTTTATATCCGCAGTAAAGCTGTCGACTCGCCGTAAACAGAGCAAGTGGCAAACACTTTCTCTTACACCTGCACTGTCTCACAGGGCTGTCACGAGGAAAGCAGAGCCGGATGGAGCACAGCAGGATCTCTGTCGTTAGTTAGTCTACTCTCGTCTGGCACAAACTATAGTGAACGTGAAGATATTCAGGACTGTGTTTGACAGAGATACACACGCAGCTTATGAGCTAGAAGATCAGAAGAATGATCAAGATTTTAATCTTTCAAACATGGCAACTTTGTAATTAAAAGGCACGCAAGTGTTTTTGTACATATTCCCCTAATTACAGACCCAGCTATCGAGCTACAATCGCTTCAAAAAGTATGCATACCTTTTAATCTGTCTCTCAGTTTCTCACATTGCAAAATTTTTCACATATAAAAATCTGAAATATTTGCCCCCTTTAATCTGATACCTCTATATAAAATTCCAACAGCTGCTTTCAAATTAAATCACACACATACATATAATTTCAAAGATACAAAGATTTGACCAATCAGCTAAGGTGAGAGGCCAGTCAAGCAGAGGCATGATGAGCGTCAGAGATCCACGGCACAAGTAAGAGAATCTGGCAACAAGCCGGCTATTAATGATGAGTTTTACAAATGTGGCTTTTTTTGGAATAATAGCAAGAAGAACACCATTGTTGAAAGTAAGCCAAAAGAGCTTAAATTTACACACACGTGCAGACAGAAATGCTGAGGTCAAATTTGTCCAAAGCTGAAGTTTTTTGGTCAAGACATAAACTGTTATCTCTTAAAGAAAACACTGCACATCACCCTGAAAACACTATCTTTATTATAAAGTGTGGTGGTTGCAGTCCAGTCATTTGGTGATGATTTTCTTTTGCATGGACATGGGAGGTGGTGTGAAAGAAAACCTTCTATCATCTAAAAAAGACATTTGCGACTGTGCTCAGGGGTTCATCTTCTACCAGGATAACTAAACACACTGCCAGAGCAACAATGGAATGGTTAAGTTCAGGGGTGTGCTATTTAAGTCCTTAAGAGCTGCTTTCCAGCAGGTTTTAGATGCATTCCTACTCCACCACACCTGAATCAAATAGCTGAATTCCCTCACTGGTATGTCATTCAGCTCTGCAGAAGCCTGGTAATGAGCCACTCATTTGATCCGGGTGTGTTGGAGAAGAGATGCATTTAAACGTTTCAGGATAGTTTCAGGACGGGACCTTGGAATAAATCATATGCATGTGTTATAAAGGTCAAAATCAAAATCCAATTGTGAATTTGTGGCAAGACATGCAAGTGTATGTTCATAAACACTTTGCATCCAGTCTGTTTGAGGTTGAGCTATTTTGCTAGTTTCTAGATGTGCTGTTTGCAAAGTCATTCTCCCCCCACCCCAAAAACGGGCGCCTGTGATTGATGGCCCGGACTGTCTTTTTCAAGGTGCTGTATAAGCATTAAATAATAGAAATTTCCTTTTATTTCTATGGATCTGTAATAGTCAAAGCTGGTTGGGAATTACGTACCCTTCCTTGCGGAAAATCGTGCGGAAGCAGTCTCGTAGACTCTTGTAGCTGGTGGGGTCACTCGATCCTCGCTGGATTTGAAACCTGCAAGGACAAAAGATTTTTACTCACGTTTTAGCCGTCACTAGGGATTTTACTGTAGTTGTGTCTTTTTTTTTTTTTTCTGGAAGCACTTTCACACATGCGTCAAACACACTGAACAAATTTGATGTTATCATTAATGAGCTCATTTCCCACTTTATTTTCCTCCCCTCTCCTTCATTTGCTTTTCCCCCGCGGTCCCCACCCGCTCCTGCAAAGATGAGAGACTCGCAACCTTAGGTCGTGTTAGTACGGGGGAACGCTCAAACATTTATTTAACCCAACTGATCCAATTAGTAACCCTACACCCCAACACTGAATTTTCGCAGCAAGCTTACCAACTGCTAACATGCCAGTAAGCCTGTTATAACAACTCTTTGGTTACATGTAAACTTTTAATGCGATGGGGATGGTTGAGGGCGTTTTTGTTGCATGGCAAATAAGCAGATAAATACCTAATAAAAGTATAATATGATTTGTGTAAGAACTTCAAATATGAGAGAATATTATTTTAAGCTCAGAAATTATGCTCCCTGTATAGATTTCTTATAGATTTCCTATTTCTTCATATAGCACAAATGTCACCAAATAAATCAGTTCAATAAAATGGTCTGATGAAAATAAAAACAGTTCTGAACAGTAGAACATATGGAGAAGTAAGAATTGGAAATGATTTACCAATAAAAAAAGATGTCAAGGATAGAAAGACATGTCCGATGTAACGGGACAAGAGAAAGATTCCCTCCTCATGTGGCGTCAACTGCCTGGTCACAAGGTCAGCAGTAGGTCCTCCATGTGGGTGCCTGATGGGGTCATAAAGAGCTCCGGGTTTCAGCCAAAGGGGGAGTTTAGTGGGGTGAGCGGCCTTTCATATCACTAACAGATTGACATCTTGGAGGGTTGTCCCTAATATCCTATTTGATGGAATCCCCATAGCTTGTAACCGGTTTCTGAAAACCAGTAAAAACGGCATAATAAATAGATGTCTGACACCGTATTAAAAGTGAAGAAAAGAAGAGGGACTAAAGGTATGAGGGGGCGGGGAAATAAGCGGGATGGGAGAGAGGGTAAAGCGCCAGATGATTTAAGACCACTGGGGCTTGTAAACAAAGTTAAATCTGACTTAATTAAAGTCAAACTATTGCAGTTCGAGCCTGGAAGACATCCTATCCCCACTCCCCTGGTTTCCTTGCTCATCACACTTCGACCTGAACCAACCCTAAAAAAAGTGAGGTTGGCAGGGCCTTGGTCTGGTTCCAGCCCCCTGACTCCAGTCTTGACCTTCGGGTCAACTCATTTCCTAATGGCCCTCTTCTACCCTCCTGTAAAAGCCGGGGACCATACAGGGGGCCCGAGGAGTGGGAGATAATAGGGTGAAGTCAAAGTACTTTTGGCAACAGAAGAACCGTCAAGCTCCCGGTTAGGGACCTTCTAATGTTACTTTTCACTGCAACAATGTGAATATTTAGTCAATCCGAGCCGAATTTCCTGTTCCTTGGCTTTGCAAAGACAAAAAGATTATGATTTTGGTTAAAATGAGTCAGCAATGTGATGTAACAAGATATGCCATTTCTGTAAAGAACAGCAAACCTCAGTATGGCTTTGGAGTTATAGACCATAAACTCTGAATAAGAAAAACCTTGGGACCTTTTCCCGACACACGGTTTGCAGCATCCTTTTCAACCAACACTGAAGATAGATACACAGTGTACTCCGAGGTGATGAGATGTGCAAGTCTATCAAAATGATCTCCCAGGACCTCTTCACCCACATTCTACCTTCCCTGTATTTTAGCTTTACGGGCCCAGAGGTGCCCAGGTGAGGGTGAAGGCGAGGGCAGGTTGGCTGTTCCATGAACAAGACAAGCACTCTGACCTTTAGTGCCCGTAAAAGTACAAAAGGTATGCATTCACAAGAAGTCAAAAAGGTAAATTAGGGCAAAGAGGCACGCCAGAGCCCCAGTCTATGTATTTTTTATGAACAGCAACAAAGTGTTTGAGGAACTTCAGTGGTCTGCTCCAAGACTCTGGCAGCTCTAAGAAACTGAAAAGATGAGGTGGAGCTCAATAATGATTCATAAATTTGAATTGGCTAATGGGGCAGCGAAGAGATTTATGCACACGAAAAAGCAGAGGCTGGATGTTCTCATCTTTAGAAGTTCATACCGCTTTTTACCAGATCATTCAGCATTATTAAATTAAGCGTGGGAGTGTAACAAGATATTGTAGCATGAGATACGATGTTTCTCATCAAATTGAAATCTGTCTCGCAAAGCACCATCAACTTGCTATCATTATGTGTCTTTTTTACGGCAAAATCAAGTTAATATCCCAATGTGAATCCGAGAGCTTTACATTTGGAACCCCATGTCATTGCTAAAGGCTCTTTTTTTGAGGAAAATAAGAAAGTAGTTCTTCACTTCAGTTGAACTTCTAGCACAAATAGTACCATGACAAAAGAACTTTTGCATGCTGTATGGGTACACAAGATTTTCAACAGATTTTTGACATAAAGATGTTTCTGCTTTGTTAATTTTGTTTTACCAATTCACAAACTAAAATGCTAAAATCTGAGTTGAATTAGTTAATCAGTTTATGTTTTACTAATCTCAGGTTTTAATTGTTGACATGAACATGTCCCATTTAAATACAGAAACGAACGCAGTCTTAAGCTGTGTAAATAATCCTGTTCAGTTCTGTCGTATTTAAATGTTTAATTAGTGCTGATCCATTGTAGTTCAGGCTTCAGAGTAAAAATAACACCTAATTTAAGCACATATTATAAATGTGGAATTACGTTACTTCATGTCTGTAATTATCTGAATTTTACTACCATATTTTCTTCAAATTCACCATAAACTGGACATTGCAAAAGAAGCAAAGCAAAAACCAATCGAGTCCTAGTGACAACCTGCTTGTGCCACCCTCTAAGCCATATTATATAAATCAAAATCCACCTCTTCTTGAATTGCTACCATTTTGTGTTAAAGTTGGTGAATAATGCCTAAATGTTCTTTTTATCATAGGAACATAGCAAACTACCGTAGTCCACACTGTAGCTATTCAGTTTGTCTGGAAGTTCAGAATAAGCAAATAACATTTCAACTTTTTAATATATTTTCAAAAACTGGGGTTTCTAAAGTTAATAAAAGATTAATAAAGGGTTAACTTGGTTAAGTGGGATTAAAAAAAGAAACACATTTGATCATATTTTTATTTTAAAATAAGCCTAAAGGGATGTGCCACAGATACTTTTGAAGGGCTACCAAAGCATCATGAGACCAGATCAAGTTGGATTTAATCTACATAGTGTTTTTTTTCCTCTCTGAATCTGGCATTGCTTCGGTTTTTTTGAGAACTCGCTGTGGCTTTGACTGTGGAAAGGGAAGGATAATTTACTCTAGTTGTTCAAAAGACAACGGCATCCTTATGTCTTTTTGGACTCTTTCTTACACCACTAAAATTGATTTCTCCCATTTCCTATATGACCATGTTGGGACTAGTTTGTTCCTCCAGATGTTTGCTTACATACTATGACCCCAGTGACTTGCGATAAGGCTGTGTTATTGGAGACAAGCAGGAAAGGACCTGCATAAAACAGTACAGGGAGACCTAGATGTTTTAGACATTAAAAGGTGTTGATTGACAGACAACTCTACAATATGTTAGAGCCGATTCCTGCAAATGTTCAAAGTAGGTGCCAGGTAAGTGGATGAGCGAGTGATTTTAGCCACATGTTCAAAGTGTTGGCATAAAAGGATGTCTGGAACAATAAATTCACAGATTTCACCTCTACTTAATTCCATCAAATAGTTTTTAGTCACAATGACCAAAAATGTTCATTTCATTTAAAATGAAAGAAACACTAAAAGTGACATTAAATGCTTTCCTTCCAAACTCACTAACTTTCTAATAGGGAAAAAGAATTTTCATAATAGATTAGCAATTAATAAGATGACTTTTGATGTAATCAGAACAAGTGGGCTAACAGCAATAAGATTAGGTCAATTGCAGTGGCTGCTGCTGTTGGTAAAGAATGACTCAGTAGCTGCCACTTTGATGTGAGGAAATGCTGCAGGACTCTGGGGGCTCACAGGACAGCAGGCTACTGCTGTGAAGTCAAAAAAAAGGTAACTGGCATGCATGTTTTCATTAAACAGGAATTAGAAGAGCTTTTAAATGCATATTTGTTTATGTGAAGGATAATGTCACTTTCCAAACTATAATTTTTGTTGTTTAATAACGTTTCAGATCCCATCTTTGTAGAATAGTTAGTTTCTTTTATAGCTTAGTTTTGTCTTTGTTATTTGGTGTATATTTTATTTTGCTATGGTTAGTTAAAACAAAAAAACAAAACTGTTAAACTAGGGTAATGTATTTCTTCTGTATCTCCTCTATATTGCATGGTTCCCCAAGGAACTATTGTAGGCCCACTGCCTTTAATGTTTAAATGTTGCCAGGAAAGAATACTAAAGTTTCTTCTTTTTTTTTTTTTACCAGTCCTAAAAAGTATGAACATCTAATAACTCCAGTCTTGTCATCTAGACCTTGGCTCTGTTTCTTCTTCTAACACCAGTGAGAGCAGTTTGCTTAACATGCAAGGTTTTCTTGGCTGTGCTTCAATCCAAAAATAAAAGCAATAATAAAATATGTGGAACAGCTAGCAAGTAAGTACTGCACAGACTGCCTACAATTATTTCTCCTTGGTTTTTCAGGGGAAAATAAAAAGTGTTTCAATTCTTTTAAGTCGCTCTGCCATTTTTGTTGTTCTTGTGAGGACTTACTGTGATATACTTTCATATTTCCATTGCAAGCCTTTAGCATGTCCCCCCTCCATATGTGACCATGGGGAATTTCTCCAGGCAAGTGTGTTTCGATTAGGTTGTGTTTAACCAAAGCGTTCTGCGTCCTGCATTTGGTTCTACATGATCACATGGGCCTGAGCTTGAATCTTTGAGCCGATTCAACATGGCTGGTGTCGATGTCTATTAAAAAATGAGTATG